GTGTTCAAAGATATTTAAAAGAAGTTACCCTTTTTCAGAATAATTCGTTGTCTTCACCTAAGGAAACAGTTTTCCCTGAAACAATTCCAGAAGAGAGCTCTGGTACTGAAGAGGAACATGTTGTAAGTTTTTATATTTGAGTTCCTTATGGCAGTGATGATGGAGGGTACTGTCTTCTATGATGTGGCTCTAGTTCAGTAGAAGTTCTTTGACATTTCATAGGAATGTACCCGCCTGCTTCTTCCTTCTTCAACCCTGAAGATGGAAGTAATACATTTTATGAAATGCTGAACTTTTACAGGACTAAATGGCCTCATATCCCCCCAAAAATGGTACTCTTCATGTTGTAAGTTTATTATATCCCTGTGAGAGTATTAAAGTATTTTAATTGAGACATGTCCATGGGAGAATAGTGAAGATAAAAAAAAGGGATTTTTTAAATTTGCATTTTTATATACAAATCCTCACTGTTGGTCTGTTGATTTTCTACAGTGAACCTTCCATGGAATCTTTCACAAGACACTGTACATAGTTCAGCCTTCTGCTTCTTAATCCTTAAGATATATTAATGCTAATTGTGCAAGCAGAAGTGCTGTTTAGTGTATTTTCCAGATGTTATTAAAGTTTTCATTCTTTAATTTCTTCCATATTATTTAGTCTTAGGGAAAGAGTATTTGGCATCTGATGGTGAAATGTTGGTACTTGCTACAACTTTTACCAAAGCAGAATATCTATAACTATGCAAGGAGTAGCGTTCACTTCTTGTTCTGAAGTATTTAACTCTCCGGCGGAGTTCTGTATACATAAATATTTGGAGTTTGCAAGAATTATTTTTCAGTTCCAGATTAGTTTGACAGAAGAATTTTGTAGAAACTAAAAGTAGAATGAGAAATTTCTTTAGTAGCCAAAACCGTTCAGTGCAATCATAATTTGTAACACTGACTACTTTTNAGTACAATAAAGGCATCACTTGAGCATCATCTCAGGGTGAAGATGATGATAGTGCACCTTGACAGAATTGCGCCATATGTAGGAAGTGCTCGGAAGGAGAAACCTTGAGAAGGGTTTACTGTATATGGAAATTAGTGCAAGTGTGGTGGCCAAAATATCATTCTACGTCTTTTGCCTACAAACTCTTTGATGAACAGTGTCACATTAAAATATTATTTAAAAATGGCAATAGTTCCTAAAGAAAAATACTGATTTCTCCCAGAAAAAGTTCTGTTAAATTTGTTTATACCAACAGCAAATTTCACATTCTAACTATGTAGGAACTTGTCACTTCTTTCAAAACTGAAAATGATGACTATAAGAGATGTCAGTGTGAAAACACTTGTGGGATGGTAAACAATATATTGAAACGACCACGGAAATCAAATCATAATTTTATAAGACATTCCTATACTCATTACATGGAAGTGGGGCT